GGATGGATGGATGGATGGATGGATGGAGCTGCCCAGGTGAAATGAAGCCGTTTTGACCATTAAATAAACGCATAATAAATATGACTTCCTGTATATGCTGAAACAACTTATTTTATTTTTTCCTCTTCATTATGTTTTTTTTTTTGGACTAATGCAACTGATGCGACTTATATATGTTTTTTTTTTCCTGTTCGTGTTATTTTTTTCTTTCTTTTTTTTGACCGATACTCTGGATCGACTTATACGCCGGAAAATACGGTAAGTAACACAAAGGAAGAACAGAAAATCAATATGCAAAAGGAATTTTAGAAGATGCTCATAACAAGTTCCAATCAGTGAATTAATGACATTTATAGCAGCTTACAATCAGGTTGTGTTTTAATGTAAAGCTTTACGATGGAGCCTAAAAAAAAAAAAGGTACTTGGTGTAAAATCAGCAGCAGGTTCAACTCCACGTGCGTGACGAGTTCAAACGAATCCTCTCACGTTTAAACTGTTCACGTCAAACTGAGCTGAACGCAGCTGCACGAAGAGACTAAACCAAGGCGAGCGCCATTTAGCACTTAGCAAGGAGCTACGTTACGTGCATGTGGTCATGTCCAACTTGAATCGTTGCACGTTCAGTGCATGAGAGAGAGTGTGTGCATATAATCCATTCCTCAGGCGGTCGAGTCTGAATGCAGGATTGTAGGCCATGTCACTGAGACGTTGTTTATGGACGGCAGAGCAGACACTGAGGAAGAAGGTGCCGGTGACTTCAGCTGGTGTCGCTTCAACCTCAACGGCTGCATGTTCACACACGCACGCCCAACGTACCAATCTGTAGATTTCGGCCTGAGGGCAGCACAACATGGGAGCGATTAAACGCCGTTCCGTCTGATCGGTGGACGACTTTCTCAGGGAAAAGGAAAAAGAAGCTCAGATGGTTTGTTTTACTGCTTGTGCTTGTGCGGCAGGAAGTGGTCCTTCTCCGTGTGTTTATTTGCCAATTTCCCATTTCCTGTGAAACGCACAGACACATTTTGTGGCACTCGGAGGGGGATGTAAATATAGGTCAGACGTGGTGAAACGGAGCAGAGGAAGCTCGGGCATCGTGTAATTACAAACTCTGTTGACGATCGATCGGGCTAATTAAACATTGTTGTGATTATAATGTCCTCGCTGTTGATTTGACCCTCCTTTAAGTTTGGTGGCTCACAACAATAAAAGCTTAGCTTTAATCATAGAAAAAGCTGCAGAGCCGGAAACAAAAACATCCATTTTTAGTTTAAATGTTTGATTTGAGAACATCAGACATGTGTCTATATTTGGCCAACCGTTTAATCTAATGTCATCGTTATCAAAAGTCATTTTGACTTGATAACAAACACTTTTACTAGTAAAAAAGAAACACTTTAACTAGCGACACTTGTGTGACAGTACTAAATACCTTGGAGACACAGTACTTAACATTTTACTACAATCAGGTAACTAGTTGCATGTTTGACCTCACAAGTATAATCAGTCCGATAGTTAACTAAACATGTTGAGCCCAACAGCAACATTTTTACCCACAATTACTAACTAGTAAGACCAAAAGTGGCTTTGACTTATCAACTAGAGAAAAGTTAAAACTTTAGTACACTGGTTATCTTGTACACACATATGACCAAACAGCACTAGTTGGCTTTATGAAGTTTTTGAACATTTACTTAGTACTAGTCCAGCAGTGCAGTAAATAAGCCAGTAGTTGAGAGTTATTGAGCACTAGTGCAACAATTTGGTCAAATTAGTTAGAGAAGACGTGCCACAAGCTGACCAACATGCTGTTAGTAAGAGTGTTTGTTCAACGAGCTCAAGAAATGTGAAACTAGAGCGACCAAATATCCACGCAGAGAACGAGTTAACTTGTACAGACACACGTCGGATGTGAACCCCCATCAGATAAATGTGTTTCCATCATACAGAGCTTCTCCTTTTATTTGAGCAGCTTCACTTCCTGTTACTGTGTGAACAAGCACAAAGGAGCTTCACTCTGTGGCCGACTAAACACCGAGACGTCCCCTGGGGAAATGGAGCCACTGCTTTCAGGTCTCATCTTTGCTGCACAGGACCAACCTCCCCCCACATTATCCACTCCCCACTACATTCCAATCAATGGATCACAAATTGGTCCCCAATGAAGGATTGTCACATTTCGCAACGTTGTAGCTGGTTTGCATTGGCAGAATCAATCCAGGTTTCATTTTTTTGCACATAACGCTCTTTAAAAGATTCTCAAAATGACAAAAAAATGTATTTTTTCTGAGCCGTGTGAAAGTTTTGGGAGGTCTAAGAGAGTGTGTCCTTATACTGATTGAGCTCTATACACAAAGACTAAATAAATAGCAGTCCGGCTGCGAGCACCCAGCAAGTGCCAACTCATAAAAGCACATTTACTTGATGCATTTGAGTCTGCCATTATTTTGAGCTCACACATCTAAAGACCTGAGAGCATCAATTCAAAAGCAGCTAGCTGTGCTGCCAGAGCTTTACAGATGTGGAGGTGGCGAGCACGTTTGTGTGCTCGTTTCATCTGAGAGAGACAAAGTAAGGAAAAGAACAGCCAGCCCAACCCTGCAGAGCTGTACGGTGGAGATGCCTGCAAGAACAATTATGCAAAAAGTGATTTGGAGAAAAAGGCTTATTCTCCTGCCTGTCCCCTGAATGCAGCTGTGCTGGTGATGTCATCATGAATGAGACCTGCTGCTGTGCACAACTCCAGCCTCACAGGATCAAATCAGTCTTCTGGAAATCGCATGACACACGCACGCGTTTTGTCTCATCAGTAAAGTGCACGGCACCACCCACATGCTGCTAAACAAGGACTAATACCTGCACTGGCGGTAAGGTGTGAAAATGATGCTGCCGTGGTGCATTCAAGTGAGAGGAAGTGCTATGATTCCCAGCAAACAGGGGCTCACCTCAACGCAACCTTCACACAGCAGTCGCCCAGGCTCGCCATGGTCGATCTCAACGTTGAGTGTTTTGGTGTGCGTGTTGTGGTTTCCGAGGTTTGAACCGTGCGCTGCGGCGGCGGGAGCAGCCGTCAAGACCTGCCGGCGGTGAGGTGCCTCACCCGGACTCCTCTCGTCTTCCTCTCCCCCGCTGAGGCGGTCATTTCTGTGCGCTCGCTGTTCGTCACATCGCCCTTTTCAAGCCGCTCTTTTTCTGTCTGTCTGTCTCTCTGCCTGTCTCTCTGTCTGTCTGTCCTTCCGTGCTCCGTTTCAGCCGCTACATCCTGTGCGAGCCGCGTGAACGAAGCATGTGTGCGAGCCCGTGCAGCCTCAGCGCTTCTCCGGGTTCACGCGCTGGCTGAGCGCTCACTGGAGGGGCGGTGCTGCCTTCAGGAGCCGCCGGAAATCCCACAATCATTCGCTTCAGGACGTAAACTCGACTAGGTCACATATGAATAGCTTCAAAATTGAACTAAATTAGCCAATTATCTTTCTTTACGCGCTTAAGTATTTTAAATGTTTGCTAAGTTGATACCAAAAGTTCATGCTCAATATTGCTCAATTGCTACGTTGACAAACTACACTCTATATGTTTATGCAACACACGTTGTACTTCTTCTTTTAGTATTGTGTGTGTGTGCGTGCGCGTGTGCGTGTGTACGGGACATTTTTTGTGTTGCTAAGGTCAAATAGCTGGCAATCTTATACAGGTGCTGGACTTACAATTTGAATATCATGAAAAAAAAATTCAATAATTCCATTCAAAAAGTTAAACTTGTATTATATTCATTCATTACACACAGACTGATATATTTCAAATGTTCATTTCTTTTAATGTTAATGATTATAACTGACAACTAATGCAAATTCAGTATCTCAGAATGTGACAGGAGTGCGACAGCTGAAACCCGTGTCTTGCATACGTCTGTGCGTGGTGGTTTTTGAAGCACTGACTCCAGCTGCAGTCCACTCTTTGGGAATCTCCCCCACATTTTGGAATGGGTTTTGTTTCACAATCCTCTTTAGGGTGCAGTTTTCCCTATTGCTTGTACACTTTTTCCTACCATATCTTTTCCTCTCTATTAATGTGCTTGGACACAGAACTCTGTGGACAGCCAGCCTCTTTAGCAATGACCTTTTGTGTCTTGTCCTCCTTGTACGAGGTGTCAATGGTCGTCTTTTGGACAACTGTCAAGTCAGCAGTCTTCCCCCGTGATTGTGTAGCTGACAGATCTAGACTGAGACCATTTAAAGGTCTTTGCAGGTGTTTTGAGTTAATTAGCAGATTAGAGTGTGGCACCAGGTGTCTTCAATATTGAACCTTTTCACAATATTCTAATTTTCTGAGATACTGAATTTGGGGTTTTCATTAGTGGTTAGTTATAATCATCAACATTAAAAGAAATACACATTTGAAATATATCAGTCTGTGTGTAATGAATGGATATGATCTACAAGTTTCACTTTTTGAATGGAATTACTGAAATAAATGAACTTTTTCATGATATTCTAATTTTATGACCAGCACCTGTATTAGACTTCAAAAGTGAATCTTTAGATATCCTGATGCATGCTCAATAACTCGGGTAGAAAACCTGGATTATTGAGCATGCATCAGGATATTTTGAACCACTTTGGCCAGGACTGCCTCAGACTAGTTTGAGAGGTTGAGCAAGCAGCAAGGAAGAGGGCGGACTACAGGAACCACCTGAGATTCAACCTCCGATGCCGACAGAGTGGCACCTTTAAAGTTATGACACTCCTTAGTGACTTACTCCTTAGTCTCAAAGTCAACACGCTGGTCAACTCCATTTCTTTGCATCCCTTTATTTCTGCACAAGTGATTACCTTATTAAAGCCAGCTTCTCCCATCCATGCCCACAAAAACTCCAGCCATCACACCCACTAAAAACTGTTTTCAACACTGCCATCTAATGTTAAATATCTCATCTTAAGGTATATTAAACATTAAAAGGAAGAATATTATCCTGACTTAGTCATTTACACTCTCACTGAGGGGCAATTTAGAGCTGACGTTTAACTTAAGATGCATGTTTTTGATCTGTGGGACGAAACCAAAGTACACGTAAAAACATAAAACAGAACACATGCACAGTGACAACATAACATCAGAAACTAATGTTTACTTCCTTAGCTTAATAAATTACTGTCAAAAATCCATCACACTAATGCAGTATAATGAAAATTATTAGGTAAATAACAGTTTGTTTTAATCATTGTTATTTACTTTAAGTCTAGTTGAGGAAAATCTTTACTACAATGCAAAAAAAAAAAGACAAAAGTTTTTTCTATAATAACAGAATAGTACGTGAGGCCCTTGAATGCAGCATAATCACAATGAATTGACAAAACATGAAGCCAATCGCTCTGTTAGCCCCGCCCCTTTTGAGACGTACAGACCAATCAGCATGTCCATAAACCGGGTTTGGCCCCGCCCAGCAGCACACCCACAGTAAGGCTTTTCAACTCATTAAGCAGGCTGGTCCTGCAGGCCTGTGCTGCTGAAGACTGTTCTTGAACACCTCAGGGTCAAAGGTTGAAACCTTTTCAGAGGTTATTATGTGCGAGGTGGAGTCAGGTTCCCCGGGTTTAAACAGGAAGTGGCACACAACTCTCTTCCCTTCGTCTGAGTCACATTCTTCAAAAGGGGAAGCTGATTCTCTTGAGTGCCTTTCGCCATGTTCTTCCTCAGTTTTTCCACATTTTCTCTTTTCACACTTCTTCATGATGAGGTGGATTTATTTTGTTTCCGTTCTCCGTGCAGCTTCCTGCAACATTCAAGATGCATTCAAGTCTCTAACTGGTTTGAATGATCCATGCAAAATGAAAGCACATTTACCACACCAGCAGAGATTCTCTGCAATACGAAGAACTCCAGTTTATCCAAATTCTCTTTCTCTACGTCATTCACGATTTTCCAAAATTAGAAGTGATCAAAATTGCCCAATGGTTTTCCTATCTTGCTGCACAATAAGTTATTTCCCAGCATGACACAAACGCACGTCTGTGAACTATTTCACAACAGCAGACAGACCCAGATTGTGCTTTAAGAGCCGTCATTTACTATTTGTTTAACCAGTTTTCTCCGTAAATCCAAAAATAAATATATATGTGACATAAATAAATAAAAAATCCTTTTTACGCTGTAAATATGCAGTAGTTCTGAACTGATTGCATGTTCTATAAACCCATTTTGTGCAGCCAAAGAGGCGCTTAAGACCATAACACTGTGTGTGTGTGCAGGTGGCAGTGTTCGTGCTGTACAGGCAGCAATGCTGGATTCCATCAAGATTAACATCCAGTTATGAGGATAAAGCTGCAATCCTCCCAGATCTGCAGGAAACCCACTGCAGCTGGGGCGACACAGCACAGAAGCCAGGGCGATACACACACACCCATCTCTTACAGTGAACTTTTAAGACTTAAATAAATGGTTACATAATTAGGCTGCCTTGTTTTCATTGAGATATGTTAACCCCCACAGCATTCCCCTTCTGGCATCCACTCTGGGAGACCGTTTTTACTCCCCTTGTTTACTTCTTCATGTAAAAAGCATGCTTCATAACATCCTGCGCGTGGGGTTTAAGACCCGGAAGATATTCTAATGATGCATTTGTAAATCTGCAACAAAATCCATCTTTTTAGTCAAATTGCCAGCACCCTGAATGCATAAGAGGCGTTGAAATAAAATCATTCCAGCCACCCTCAGGTTTCGTCAGTCACAGTGAGGTTAGCAGCTTTTGCTTCTTTTAGAAACACCCACAGAATTTGAATTTTCGGAGCTAATCCCTTCTATCCTGGCCTCAAACCATGAGGATGAGTCAAAACTGTAATGTGCCACAGACATATTGAATTTTCAAACGCTGAACGTTGTGGTTTTGATATCCAACGTGTGAAAGGACAGAAGATGTGATTTCTGCTGATACTATATTTCAGTAAGGTTCTAAAAGCCTCGTTAACGTTGCCACGCTAAAACTAAGATGCGTTTGACCCCAATCCAGTCCAGTGGTCTATTGTTCCATCATGTGGCATCACGCTAAAAGAAGAGAAGATGAAGCTGCACCCTTATTCTCCATTCTCGTTTTTTCACTTTGATGTTTCTATAATCCCTCACTGGAGTTTTCTATATTTGGCTTTGAAGCTTCATAAATTAATCCCCCTCCCCCATTCTTTAGCATAACAAAACTGTTCAAATTGGTCAAGATTTCATAAACACACGTTTTATAGATTCACCAGCTGGCAAAGGAAAAGTGCATTTCCATAAAGGACAGTGGGACACTTGAAATCATGGTTTTCCTCCGTGAGTATGCAGAGTAAACGGAGTTACTGGCGGAGTTAAAGGATTGTTCATGGGCGTTTGATACCGTCTGTGTTTCCTGCTTGTGTGCGACAGGCGAGCGATGTGTGAAACGTATCTGTGTCAGCTGCAGTGCTGGACTCCTCGTTTCAGCCCGTCGTCTGTCAGAGTTCAACTTCTCTCACATAAGAAATAAAACTTTTACTGCAAGCTAAACACGATTACAGTTTCGAATGAAAAAAGTTTGATGTTGATAATCTGAAAATATAATAAAGCAAGTCGTGAACTCTAAAATATAAAATGTTGAGCCTGATGACATTTGATGGGCAGATGGAATCAGAACATCATTCTACACTGGGTTCAGATTGTTTGACATTAAACAGGGATTAGGCATTTTCTTAACAGTGAGGCATGGAGGTGAGAGTTTGATCACACGGAGCTACATGGTGCAAATTACGCTGCGATAACTTGTGTACTTCTTCCAGCTATCTGTCAACAATGGTGTACCACAAGGCTCGGTCTTAGGACCCACCCACTTCACAGTCCACACTTCTATGCCAACAACACAGTTGCTTATTGTCGAGCTAGAACAGTTGCTAACGGTTTTCAGCTCTTACAGTTTGACCATAAACTTGTGCAGCATTCACAACCTCTTTTTTGTGTGTGTTCATTTGTGTTGTGTTATACGAGAAGGGTCTGATTACATCTACAGAGGTGCGTTTGTTTACAAGTGTACCTTTAGCTGAGACTAAACAACGCTGAACTAAAAAGTGCCTTCTGCTTTCACCAGAGAGGACGGTAAAGCAAATGTTATGGGTCTGATACGTCGCTAAACAAAGTCCCACTCACAGCCCTTCACATCTGTCATTATTACAACTTAGAGTATAGAATACACTGTTTGAATGTCGGTAATGAAAGATTGTTGCATAGGAATAAGCTTGTTTTTGAATGAGTAAATGTGATTTTCGATCAGTCAAGGCCTTAAAGAAACGCAAGCTGAAATAAACCACTTCAACAGAAAGTGAATAAAGAATAAAACGTGAACCTGTAGATGA